GTCAACCACGCTGTCATGGTCGAGGTTGCTTTATCTATCACGACGTATTCCAAGCATCATGAAGCTATCCAGACGAGCATTTATCATAACAGAACGCAAATTATTTTTAATTAGTCTTATTGAATTATTATTATTATTATTATTATTATTATTATTATTATTGTTGTTGTTGTTGTTGTTGTTGTTGTTGTTGTTGTGATGAAAAGTTAACACAAATAGTTGAATGAAAACAATATGGTGGTTAAACGAACATTACATGTAATTTTTTTATTATTTGTTCCCCGACAAAATTGACTTGTCTTCTCCGACGGGAGCGGGGGACTATGCTTCCCCGACCGGGGGGAGGGGGGTGTGGTGCTATGCTTCCCCGACGGGGGGTGTTTGGGTGTCAAACGCCCCAAAGCCCATCAACATGATGGGCACGCACCCAATTACGCAGCGTGTACCGCGGTAACTATGCAGCCATTTTTTTTTTGTGTGAATATTTACCAGTTTTCTATTCGATATTTGTGTTTGCTATTAAAACTTGATAAAGCTGTTGCACATGATAATTCTTATCCATTTTTAAGATAGAGCGAAACAACAGAACAATTTATTCAACACCGCCATGTGGCTATCTAGCAATTTAGTCCTAATTATTAATAAGCCTATAATGACTTTTGCTTATAGGCCTATTACTTGCAAATTTGCGAATATGAATATGTCCATGAACCGCCTTTATAAAGTACAGTATTACCATTTTCCTTTATAAAGTACAGTATTACCATTTTGATCTTAAACTTTGGCGTATTAAGAGTATTTACCGTTGTTGTTGTTGTTGTCATACAATAATTAAAAATGCAAGATGTGTGGTGCGATGTTTTGTAGGTGTTTCCATTGGCAGATTAATGTGTATATATATGCATATTACTATTGTTTTACCATCAACATTCAGCAATTGACCAGGAAATAATTTGTTTGCTGTTTCCACTACCACAGGCATTTGCATGTGTTATGATGCTGTTGTATTTTGTTGTCCTCACTGCAACTAACATATTTGTAACAATGGGTATGTTTTGTGCCATGCTTGGACTAGGATTCATCCTAGCACGTAAGTACAACTTTGTCGTGCTAAATCAGGGTGTCCTTAGTAAGAAAATTGGGTAATGAAGTTGATGATGAATAGGATGATGATTGATGATGATGATGATCTTGACGACGACGCCGATAACGATCTTGATGATGATGATGTGGATCATGATGATGATGGCGATGACGACGACGATGGAGATTATGATAGGCCTATTCTAAAAACTCCACTGACTTCAAACGCTGATCGTGTTTAATTACCTTCATGATGTTGATGACAATTATGATTATGTGATTACAGCATACTCTACACGCTCATAACTAAATTTTAACATTTTCTTATTGTTTTATTATAGTGTTTATTAGTTCTGATTATCTACGACAGAATGCTGATATGGACAATTATAATGAGCCAGAAATACCGCACAATGACACCGAAATGACAAAATGTGAATAGGCATCCCGTTAAACTTTGATGATTTTTAACTAGGCCTCCTATAAATTGTTTTCTGTTTCAATTTATTTGAATTTTAATGGATAGTAATAAAATTTATAAATAAATTATATTTATATTACAACTTGACACAAAAATAAAAATTGCTTCCAAAGATCGTAGCTGTGCACTGGATTCATTTCCATTCTGGCCGCATGAGAAACATCTCCTGGACGCAATGCCTTCCAGAATGCACTCTGGTGAGAATGTGCTAGCAATCGAAAAAGAGATTTGGAACGCTGATCTATGTCGGTAATGTCATGGAGGAATAAGATTTACCATAGTTCTACTCTCGTAACAACCGACTGCATTTTGGCTATCCCATTTTCCCCAAATGCGCCATGCTCTTTTATGCATTGTCACACACCACTCCAGTTCCGTTGCCTCTGGATCTGGCTGTATCTCAAGAAGCAAAAGGATTTTCACCAGCACACAAACATTCAATTATAACATAAATTAATGATAGGAGCTGGTAGGTTCTGTGGCCTATGTTTTTACATTAGAAATTGTCTTAACATTGCCAGCTAGCTGACAATATCACCCTTACTAGATGTTAGATATATAGCTACAATGGTGTGTAGCTGACATATAGTCTGTTAGGATTTCTTATCAGCATCCGATTATGCATCAGTCACTAAGATAAACTTAAAAGACAATGTAGGGCTAAGCACTGGTTAAATTTGAGCAGCAATTGAAAATGGTGATAATTGTTAACTATATTGTTCAATTAAGTATTATCATTTAACCAACTCAATCTGTATTTAATTTAATTTAAAATTACTTTCACCTTACTATAAAGTAAGTTGTAAAACAACTATAATAAAATGATAACATAATATTAAAATATTTATTGTTTTTCATCTTGTAAAATGTTCGTTTGTGATCATATTCTTCGACTCCATGTTTGTTTCATAGATTCCATTTATTTATATATTTGTATTTATTCTGTTTAATTCAAGATCTGTATTTCTTTTTCATTTGTATTATTTTAAGGCAATAACATTAAATTAAATTATAAAAAAAGATATTTACATAGCATCATAATTTGCCTAATACGCTTTTATTATTATTATTATTATTATTATTATTATTATTATTATTATTATTATTATTATTATTGTTGTTGTTGTTGCTGTTGTTATTCTTTTTTTTTGTACAATTTCACTGAGAAATAAATACAACATGATAGAGAAGAAGAGGTATCAGAAACTTTTATGTTTTTAAGGAAAGTAAAATAATTTAGTATTGATACATATTTCTTCGGGGGAAGCAGTTTTTTTAAGTAACTAAAGTATTTCTTGTAACTGTGTTTTGTTTCTTGATTCTTTGTTCTTGGTGGGGTTGCTGTTAGTTAAGAATGTACTTCTGACTGTCCTGACTGTTTTTCCGTATTTTTAGAGTTTATACTATATTTTTTATGTCCATCCTGTAAGTGGCGATTTTTCGCTGTTGGTTTAGAAATAAATAAATAAATAAAAATAATGCTAAACACTGTACAGTTAATTTGTAAGTCTGCATAAATGAATGCCAACCATGGCTACATTTGAATGTTGAATTAGGCCTATAATAAAATTATGTAAAATGTGTTTTAGTTATACAGGCAATAAATAAATTTATGTAATATTAAAGTGCTTGAGTATTAAGGTGATTGATTACCGTAATAAACTATACATACAATTTTTTCTTAATACGGAGGCAATCAATGAATGTATTACTCACTACGAAGTAACTTCACTGAAAAAGTCATCATGCAAGGAAAGATGGAAGGATCAAGAAAACAAGGAAGACCAGAACTCCTATGGATTGGTAAAATTGAAACGTTTATTGGGTTTCCTTTTCGAGAACATTACAAATTATGCTGAAGATCATTTGGTGGTTCGGCACTACATCTTCAAATTCACGAGCTGCTAGTCATGACGAGACCGTACCAGGCAATCAACCACGTTCCTGCGCCTGTCCTAGGACATTTATATGTAGGCCTACTTAGGCTTCTGGCCCATTTTACATGAAAAGGAATAAAAATTGTAACATAAAATTATAACATGCTTTTCCTTTTTAACTCCGATGAGGAGCTCTAGGATTACCCTCAGGGGCGGATTTAGTGGGGGCCGGGCCGCCCCTTTTGGGAGGTATAAAAAAGAGAAAAAAAAAAGAAAAAAAGAAAGAAGAAGAAAAAAAAGATAGCCCAGAATGCCTCAAATGTTATGTTCGGGCGTCTAGAAAACAAAAATTTCGGACCCCCTAGGGCAGTTTCGTTTTTTGTATGGGCGGTAGTTAGGGCCACTAGAAACATTCGGCTGATTGATTAATAGATCTTTTTTTTTATGGGCGGCCGTTAGGACAAATATACTTTCTACTGCCTCTATTATACTGCCCTTATCGGAGCTTTCGAGATTACAAGAATTTGTTTCTAAAGAATCGTAAATGCATTTGCCTAAATTATTCAATAACGGTATATTTTAAGTTAATAAAATGATAGAATTTAAAATGACATTGGTGAATACAATAAAATTCAGGTAATTCATTATTTGTTTAGAATAAAATGGACAAACTAAGGTGAATGACATTCATATTCACTACAATTAAAAGTCCTATGATTTCTAGGTGTAGAAATGCTGGTGTCACTGTTTGGTACCATACATTAATGAACACTTCATATCACTACAGAGCTGATTTAACATTGTTCAATGCTGTAAGCCATAATTTCTCTAGGCCAATTTACAATATCTTCCATACTGTCCATATACTGTATATATACTTTGTGTTTATAAATATTGTCGTTCAGAGTTCTTGCTTAAGTAAGTTAGGTAACTTTAATATATCAACTCAAAAAACACAAATTTCATGTATTTTATATGACAATTAATAAAGGAAACTAATTCTAGATATCGAAGTTAACGGTTTAGTCACAATATAAATTTAAATACTGTAATTGTGAAAATTCATCGGTAGCAAATAAATTCGGTATTCGGGAATGAGTAATGGTATTTGCCTACTCACAATGTGTTAAAGTGGAGGGAAATTTCTGACTTTTGAAGGCTCGCAGTTGGCAGCAGTAGAAATAAACAGATTCCAGTCAACTCACCCCCTAGCAATTTCGCGCCTTGCAATCTCGCCCCCTTGACAAACTCGTCCACTACAAACCCGCCCTTTACCAAGACGACATCACGGCCCTATATATTCATAGCATTATGCATACACTGTTTGATGTTATTAACCATGAAGTAACTAATAAAAAGCAGATACTTTTCTGCAAACTCTCTGTTAAAACATCAATAAGAGTTGTGCTATTTTATTTTGTAACTCAAATAAACCAATCTCATTTGACAATAGACAGATTAGAATGAACAATCACATAATTCCTTAAATGCCATTAATTCTGGACTCATGGAAAACACACATTAAAGAAGTAGAAAACAACATTTCAAAATTATTTTTAGTCTTTCTTCTTTTATTCCTCTCTTTATCCTCCGTCCTTTACAGTAGTCTTATCCTCGCATGATATTTAAGTTATTGCAATATTGTTGCAACACCTACAAGAAAGCAATTCGTATTTTATATGCTGCACCACCATTAGCCCACACTGACCCATTATTTAATTCCCTCAAACTACTTAAATTGCAAAATATCAATATACTGCAACAATGCAACTTCCTGTTTTCCTCAACCAAGTACTTGAATCCTCCACAATTTAGTAACTTATTTCGTCTGAATTCTTTTTACAATAAATATTTTACCAGAACTGGCCTAAATCTGCATATTCCGCTGCATAAAAAAAAAACATCTTTTCAGTATAATATCAGATTTAGCGGTCCAAAACTTTACAATAAAACAATAATTTACCCGATAACTTAAAACAATCTTTATCAAAGAAAAGCTTTTCCATCAAACTTGATTTAACTCGATATTTAACCTGAGACAACAACGAGTCAATTAATCAAAATGAAATTGATTGTGATTGATTAATTTAATTAAATAAGTATTTCTTAGATGAAAGATCAGTTTCTGTACTTATTACCTTTACTTTTTCTGTAATCATTTTTTTTTCTCCGTCTCTTTGTGAACTGTGTTGATTTTACTGTTATCCGTTTCATGTAATTCTTTGTTTTTTCAGGCATTGAGCCTTCTACAGTCTAAATGACTTACGGTGCTAGTTCTGCTAAGTATCACGTGGAAACATTGTTGTTTTAGGTTTCTCTCTCTCTCTCTCACTCTCTCTCTATCTCCTTTGAGAAAATCAACCAGTCTTTTTATCTGATGGGTGTTCATTTCACTAAACTTCCTCATTCCTATTTCAAAATTTTTCATTTCATATTTCCACAACAGTCTTGGTATTGCTGCTGATTGGTTGTCGAATCGGAAAGCAACCATAGCAACGATTGCACTGAAAACACTGTAGCGACAGTGTAGCAATTGTAGGCTTAACAAAATAAATCACGTAAACTGAATTATAAATAATATGACAGGCCTATTAATCTTTCTGTTTCTTCACTTTCTTTTCGTCAAAATTTTTAAAAAATGTATAACAATTATATTAGGGGGAAATATGCATGTCTATCAGGGGAAATTTTGAATCTTGCCACCAATGTACAATCATGCATTAAAAAATATATACAAGTTGTGTATAACTGATGATTAGGTCTATTCAATCCGTCTGTGTCGTCGATTTTATCTCCATTTCTTTTTCTTCGTCTAGATAATTCTCACGATCAGCACTCTGTCTCCGATTATCAGTTTCAATAAACACTGTAAAAACAAAAATATTCCAGTCAACAGGGTAAACCTGTTTATTAAATTGCCGCTAGTACATTGGGTTACGGATTATTCATTCTTCTTTCATTATATTTTAATTCACATCAAACAGCAGGTAGCCTGCCACTTACAGAATGGAATCGGCCTACATAAAAAAACAACATTGTCAGGACAGGCCTGTGCGCTGGAAGAGGGGTGGGGGAGAGAGAGTGGGGTTCGGGGTTCAGAATAACACCCCTCCCCCCACCCCGCCATCCAGTGATAGAGTTCCACCTAGATTGGGAATTCATTCGAATTTATAGCTTTGCGAATTTCAAATCAAATTAGTTATAAATACTGATTTGCATTATAAACACCTACTCTCAGCCTCTTAAATATCATTAAATAGTGTTAATAATACCCAGATTGCTTGAGTGCCTGGACCCTCGTCAAGGCTCTGTCCCTCGACGCCGTCAGGGGCCATAGGTGGATCC